ATAAAACTCCAGAATCTATCAATTATAAAACAGACACCAACCATTTAAGTAATATCTACTGTAATATACTAAACAATATATGATATGATAGATCTTAATATCAGTATCTAATAACATCAGACCAATAACTGACTATGTACCATCAATTACATTTTATAGATCAATTTACCATGTTCCTGATTCTTTCTCAATCTTCTACTTTTGCACCTTATTATATGGATAACTGTCACAATATGTAATTGTTTACTAAAACTTATTCGCTAAAAATTGTACAATGGGAATTCACTCTATAAAATATTGCGGTTACCATAACTCCCAAATAAATTAAAATCAAAAAAATGTCATTTATTTAAATTGGATATGTTCTCAAAATTTAAATTTTTAATCTTAAGTTGTAAGTATTGAAATATTCATTTTATTTACATATAATAATTATAATAAATTTACAGTTTTCTCCTGAAGAAGTCACAAAATCGTGACGAAATATTGAGAAATAACAAATAGAGTTTTATTTCATACAGACCAATTGCTGAGACTACAAATAATATATATTTATATATATATATATATATAATATATATATATATATATATATATATATATATATATATATATATAATATATATATATATATATATATATATATATTTGTCGCTTAGTTATACTTTGTTTTCAACGTCATTGGACACCGTGACAATGTAACTGTAGTCGACCTAAATCGCAATGAAATTCTTGCAACAGTGTCTTTGGAGAAAAAGTCTATGAAGGTTTAATAGAGCGTTTATTCTACGTTTCTCATGTTAATATGTATATTTTTGTGCAAAATAATGAACTACTAATTATACTATATAATATATGAATTAAAATTTAACAATGTCGACAGGAAGTTTATATGCAAGGTACTAACAATATCAAGACATGAAACAATCATTTATTAAATAATTTTTTAATAGAATACTAGTTAAAAAAATTGATTCCTAATTTTTTTTAAATTGAACCATTCAGTTAGTTACCTATGTGAATTTATCATCCCTGTTCCACGATTCTGTTTGGCATATAAAAATAATGAGGGATCAATTGATGTAGTAAGCTTGTAAGACACAGTTCTCATATTTATCGTATTTATCTATATAAATAATATTGAAAAGGTTCTTCCTTCTTCTGCAATTATGCGACTTATCTTTGGCACTATTACAAAAAGTGATGGAGAGATGGAGAGGTCAATGCTGAATATGTCCCTCAGAGACAGAGTATCAAATACAATAATTAGGAGAATAACTGGTGCTACTGACGCAGTTCAAAGGATTACAACATTGAAATGGAACTGGGCGGGGCATGTTGCCAGTTTAAAAGATGGAGATAATAACGACCTAGACACGATGCTTATCGTAATCGAGGATGTCCTCCAACAAGGTGGTCAGATGACATCAATCGCATTCAGCACAACTGGATTCAGGGTGCTCAAGATAGAATGCATTGGAATTATTTACGGGGGGCCTATGTCCAGCAGTGGACTCAAAACGGCTGATGATGATGATTTTTTTCCTGTGTATACATGTCTCATATCACTAAGAATTTCACATTTCCAAACGAGACATATGATAGCCATTTTCCCATTTCCTGCACTCTGATCCCCTCTCTTTGTTTATGGTGTGGATAGAAAACTAACAGTATCCAGTCACTATCTTTGTGGCGACCTTCAGCTCTCTGATAAAATTTATGCCATTTACAAACACAACACAACAGACTCCTGTCTGTTGTGTTGTGTTTGGTTTTGTTTATATGAATTTGCTTCATTTATTGTTATGTCCCTTCAGTAATAACAGTACATAATATAAGTTAATTCATGATGCCACAGAATGGTTCTAAGTTTTCAAAGTTTTTTGTTATAATTTTAGATCTCTATAAACTTATGAAACTCTTTATAAACTATTAATAAATAATTAAGAAAAAGTCTAGGAAAGACATAGGTCAGTACAAAATAACAGTTAAAGTTAAAGAAAAGGTAAACGAAACGGGAAGAAAAAACCAAGCGAAGATTGGCATTCCGACATTCAAAAACTAGCCACGTTGACAGAAAACTACAGCCAAACATTATACGAGTCGAAAGCAACAACATCACAAGGTGAAGAAGAAAAATAACGAAAAATAGTAAAAGATGTTGGATCTGAAGATGTACGAGATATAACATAGGACAAAATAAGAAACGCAATAAGCAGCACTATGCGAAATAAAAAATCTCGAGGTGAAGACAAAATATTATTAAAATGATAAAAATGATAAACTATGGAGCACACTGCACAATACATAATAGAAATGCTAAAAATTATTTTTAATCAATGCATAGAAGTAGTTAAAGGACCCACAGCCTATAGCCCAGTGTACCTCGTATAAATTGAAAAAATATAGACCCATTAGACTGTTATCAGTATTGTAAAAGCTGTTTGTGAAGATAACTGCATTTCGACTAACAAACCATAGACATATAATACAAGATAGATAGATCGTTGCAATACCAGCCCGCTTTCCCCAGTGCGATAGAGAAAACTGACAAAAAACAGTTCGTCTTTCTGATATTTGCCAGGTTTATCGACCACGTAACCTAAATGATCAATGAGAAGGTCACGTGCTCGATCCTGCCGCGGGTGCAAGTAATAAGAACAATAATTAAAAAATCAAACGAATACAATATAACACTAATAAGAAGTGAAATAGAAAGAGCTACTGAATAAGAAAGTAGCTTAACTTTTATACTTTTTATACAGTAAAACATTATGATCTTTGAAAGATTTAAGGAAGATTTGATTTTAAAAACGTGTGTCCACTTATTTCGTGGACTTTACGAAGGCGTTTAACAGAGTGAGACTGGTAGATATCTTTATACTATTAAAATCTAGAAATATAGGGAGCAATCGAGTAATCATCAGAGAAATGAACACCAATAACAGTACATCTTTAAAAGCAGAAAGTTGACTTACTAAGAGAATATCTATACAAATAGGCAAAAGTCAGGGAAATAGCCTTAGTCCAATTCTCTCCAATCTGGCGGTGCATGAGATCATAAAAGAAGCTAAATTAGTAGGAAGAGATTACAGAATGTGAAACAAAGAAATTCAAATATGCTGCTATGCTGATGAAGTAATGCTTATATCGGAGGATGAATATAACCTAACCTAACATAACCTAACCTACAACAATTTTCATAAAGGTTCCAAAATATTGCAAAAAAATTATTATGGTTGTATCTATTAAGAAGCAGCTCACGATTAACAGCTAACCTAAAAAATAAAACTAGCGGCGATTAACCAAATTGTCGTTGAGCATGTTATGACCTTCAAATATATAGGAGCCAAAATTACTAGTAGCAGATACCTCAAGGTGGAAGTCAAAGCACATATTAACAGAGCGCAAATGATATCTGGATACCTGGGTGACATCTGGAGAAGCAAATACATCACTATAGAAAAAAAAATTGCAACGTCTGAAAAACCTAATACAACGAGACCACTAGGAGACCTCCAAATACGATATAGTGGGAGAGCTGGACATCGAAGTCTCAAAACTTAGTTGTAAGAATAAACAGGGCTTAGTCCTAAAGAAGAAAAAAAAGCAGCATTGAGAAAAATAAAAATTCAGTAAATTTATTTATATTTTAATTTTTTGAACTGGGGGACTCTAAACGACTTTCTAAAACTATTTTAAAAAAGCATTAAAAACTAGTCTGACAGACTAAATTATACTAGACAGACAATAGAGATAGAGTAGATTGGACCACAAAGGAGGAAAATAAAATACAGAAACTAATATTGTTGACGAGAAAACTAAAAAAGCAACATCACTAGACCAGATGCTATTTCTTGAAGTACAAGACAGTAGCACATTTTGGTGAGGAACTATGTAAGCTATAGTAATCAAAAGTAACTGATGACCTTACAGCGGTTTTTAAGATAAACAGATATAGAGTATAAGTCAAACATGAAACACAACTTGATGTATTTTGTATCAATAGACCAAAAATCAAAATTTTTAGATAATTTTGCATTAGTAAGCCAAGAGGCATATGTTGGAGTTTGGTTCTGGTGCTTGAATATAACTATATGGAGAAGCCGACATATCAACACAGAAGAAATCGAGAATTTATAAAGACCAATAATGATGAATTTAATGAAGAAACAACACCAAATACAACCACAATACAAAGGCTATTGGACATAGTTGAGACTAGAATACTGAAAAGAATTACACTAAATACGCCAAGATATCGAAAGATAGGTGGATTTATCGGAAGGACATGTAATGGTTATAAACGAGTGGAAATTAAATGAGAAAAAAAGAATAATAAATAAGAATAAATGACCAAAAAGGTAAAAGAATTATTGGCTGATCTCACAAACGATAAGGTGTAAGCTTTTATAGAGGTATCATTCCGCCAACGAACAAGCAGAAGAGTGTACATAGAAATAGTGCTTAGGTTATTATACGAGTTGAAAAACGACATCAGCATTGCTTGAAACGGATATTATTTGAAAGGTGACTTTTGAAATAACTATCAAAAATCAGATAGGAAATACGATATAGCATTGGACCATTGAATTTTAATCGTTCGACTAAATAATAAATGAAATAAAATTAGTTTGGAGATAAGTATGTAGAGAAAACAGCTTGATAATGTGAATGCAATATCTGAAGATATTTTAAATAAGCTTGATATTTGGTTGTAGAACTTTCTACAGCCAAATATTGTAGTTTTAATAATAATCTAGATTTTAAAAACTGAATTAAAAATTTACCAATATAACTAATATAAAGCAAATAAAATAAATTATTAAAATTAAAAATTGATTAAAATCGTCAAGAATAATAATTGAGGCATCAGAACATCGTAAAAATATTTCACTATCCAACAACTACCCCTCCCCACATATGGTACACTTTCAATCACCTCCACCATCACTAATTTTTAAATTTTTTAAACAAAAATTGATGCATGTGGTACTCACATTTCTTAAAAGTGTCATGTTCGTGAATGTAGGCACAACACTAGAGTGGCGCGGGGGGTTAACTTTTACCTTTTATAAGGTGAGATAAAAGAAGAGAAAGAAGGGGCAAGGTCCCGGAGAAGCGGATGATGTCTTTCGCTGTCCATGGTTAACTTTTTTGTTAGTTATCGGCGCCTTACAAATTATATTCATTAATTTTTATATAGTAAGGAATAGGTTAAAAATCATTTTATAAAAGTAAACAATTAAAACTTATTTACGACGACGAAAAACATGGAAAAGAATTAAATATTTGTAATACATGTACCACATATACTCTAAATCTCTACTATTAATGTTGTTAAATTTTCAAGTTTATAAAGAGAATTATCAGCATATGAATGGTCCATCAGAATGGTCAGCATTCAGGGTTCCAAGCCAACGGCCTAGGGTTAATCTAAAGAACAGACACGACGTCCACAACTTTATAACTCCAGCAAGCAAGAAAAAATGCTGAAAAAATCTGTACAGCTGATTTGCTTTGTTTTTTTAAACAATCTTAAAAAGTGAAAATTTTTTTCCTACAAAAACATTCATTCTTATACATTCTAGAGAAAAATGATTCAAATAAATGTACAGTGGGTGATCAAATAATTAGAGCCACTCCATAATATTTGACTTTTTGTTTAAAAATGGTATGTAATTGAGATATAAAACATATTTTTGTGCTTAAATATATTTTACTATGATTTAGAATCTTGTAGAGTTTATAAATAATAAAAAAGAAACGAGTAATTACATAAAAACATTTAAAATTATACCTTAAGCCTAATACTTGGTAGTGTCATCCTTTGCAGGAATGACAGCCTGGCACCTTCTTGGCATACTTTCTACGCATATCTGGCAATTCTGTGGAATTGTTTCACTTCTGGGCCAGTCTGCTATTAAGCGCTCGATCAATTGACACTTCATAGTTATAATTTTATTAAAAATTTCTTATTCATTAGCTTCCAAAGATTTTCTATTACATTCAGATCTGATGAGTTGCCCTGGCAGTTGTCTGGTTGTCAGTAAGGAATTTTGTAACAGTTTTTGTTTTGCGACAAGACGTCAATTTGTGCATAAATGTGAACCTCTTATTAATAAACCACTCCTGAGCCTGAGAAAGCAATTTTGCTTGCAGCACTCTTAACTACTGGTCCTGTCGCATTGCTCCTTCGACAGTGTAGAGTCTACCAGTTTCTTGACTGCTTATAATAGACCACACCATAATGTTTGAGTGGAGCGTTACCGTCCTTACAATACAATCAGCTTTATCTTTTTCCCCAGGTCTTCCTCTTATAAATTGAGCTTTATCCATGAGAATCTACTTATGGTAGACTTATCCGAAAAACAAACCTAGAATATTAATATTATTTTAGAGTCATGGACAAATTGAGCAAGTGTAAACGACATAAAAGAAATACAATGTTAAGCAATGTTATTTGGACCAATCATCAATGGTCCACTCTTTGTGATCTTTAGCCCACTCATGCCTTTTTTTCTTCATGGCTGGTATGAGTAGTAGCTTTTTTCCAGGACCAGACGTTTTTTCATTCAAAACCTTCTAGTTTTGAATTCAAAAGGTTTTTTGTGCGCCGAGACAATATCTCGAATTTTTCTTTCATCTCGTGGCGTTATCATTTTGTTTTCGACCATATTTTAGTTTGTGCCGTTTGGTCAAATCCAAATTTTTGTCAAATTTTTTCTATATACAGTCCACAGTTACTCTTGAAACTTTAGAAATTGATGGTATTTCTCTGTTGGATTAATTAATGTTCAATAATAAAGTTTTTATTTCCACTATTTTCCTTGGCGAGATGTTTTTGGCTTCCCCTATGATGTTCTGGTACCACTGGTATAACAAACATGCACTGTTTGCTTAATTCATAAAATATAGTATACGACTGTTAGAATATTACTAGAGAGCAATGGGAAATATTTACTATAACTCTAAACACCAATAATACAAAACAATATGCACACGAGTTACAAGCTAGACTGAATAGCATTACCAAACAATGGCATCTGAGTCACGAATTTCCACGCCCGCTATGTTGCCACCTATGTGGTCTATGTGGTAAAACTATTTATTGTACTTTCATAAAGTGTTACAAGATAATAAAACGTAAACAAACGTATTGATATACTATATAACTCAATTATATACCTTTTTTGTAAAAAAAATTAAATTTTGCTAGGTGGCTCTAATAATTTGATCACCCACTGTAGTAGATCATAAAAAGTTATTTATTCTCAAAGTTTCTAAATAAAATGCTTGTATGTATATACAGCGTTCAGGCCTTTAAGTCCCATTGCTGGATGGATAATTTCCATCGTTTTCTGTTCTTAGCTATCAGCTTCCCATCTCTCTGACATTTTTGATCACTACATCTCTTCATTTGTTTCTCGATCTTCCTCTCTTTTTTGCCCTCAGGTACTCTCCAAGCAATATTATTGACTAGTCTATTACCTTGCATTCTTTCTACATGTCCGAGTCATTCTAATTTACGTTTTTTCATCACTTTTGTTATTGTAGGGCCAGCATACAAATGGTATACTTCTGCATTAGTTCGTCTTCTCCATTCTGGCTCTACTACTTTTCCACCGAACATTCTGCAAAGTATCTTTTTTTCCAAGCTTCCAATCTATTCTATATGGTTTTGTTCATAGTCCATGTCTCAGCAGCTTATAGCATTGTAGGTCTAATTATCGTTTTGTATACCCTTTATTTTGCTCATGTCTCCAGCACACCTGTTGCTCTTGGCCAGACTCAGGTCGATTTCAGTTTCTTTCTTACATGTCTCATCAATAATAGTATCTGATATTCATCCACCTTTTCAACTTCTACAACTGATCCATCCTCCCACCTCCAATTTAAAGGATCCCCTGGTGTTTGTTTCTTGTTTGCTCGAGATTTCCATGTACTTCGATTAATATTAGCTCTTAGTTCCATTTTAGAGCTTTCCCGAATAAGTCTTTTTGATATATTTGTCAAGTATTTTCTATTTCTTGCAATGAGAACACATCATCAGCCTATGCTAAGCATTGGTACTCCTTGTATAAAATAGTGCCGGTTTTATTTATCCCACTAATCCTTACAATTTTTTCTAGAACTATATTGAATAGCAATGTAGACAACGGGTCTCCTTGGCGAACACATTTTGTCACTTCGCTAATTTTTCTGAGACTGTGCCGTTGCATTTCACATCACAAATGATTTGTCTAATTGTCATTTTACCAATCTTACTATTTTTTCCTGGCACTTGGAAGTCTTTTAGCGTTTCTATTAATTTTTTTCTGCTTATTGTATCGTAGGCGGCTTCTTTGTAATCAATGAAAAGTACTTGTGCTGAAATGTTGTATTCATAGCAATTATTCAGGATTTTTTTAGCATAAAATTTTTTTCAGTTCTATCTCCCCTTTTGTGTATAGGAATTATATTCGACTTATTCCATTCTTGAGGCATTTCTTCGGCATCCCACACTTCTAGTATTAAATGACTAAGTTTAGTCTTTGAAGTTTAGGAACATTATAATTTTCTTCAGTAGTCACTCTGTTATGTACCATCTCCTCGAAATATTCTTTCCACCTTTCACATATTTGGTCTTCGTCCACTATCAGGTTTCCATGCTTATCTTTTACATTTATCATTCTCTCGTGATACCCAATTTCAATGTATTTTATCTCTTTGTAAAAAATTTTTTTATTTCATTTTTCTTCTAATCTTCTTCAATACGCTCCACTTTATCATCCATATACTTTCGTTTCAGCTTCCTTAGGATTTTTTTTACTTTTTTTTCGTTGTTCGGCATACCTTTCTAGGTCGTCATATTTTTGCGATCGTAAACTTTTTAATCTTAAATCTGACGTTGTTTTAACTCTGTTCTACATTTGCCATTGAACCAGTGGCTTTTCTTCTAAACATTTTTGTTCTTGGTATGTTCTTTGACATTGCTTCCTTTATAGTGTTTGTCATTTTCAAGAACTTTTGTTGTATGTTACTCACAGTAGTGCTATCTTGTTTGGCGTAGGTGTCTTGTATATTCTTTTTGATAATCCTGCGCTACTTCCAATTTTCGCAGTTTCACAAAATTAAATTTACGTTGAACTTTCTTTTTCTGTTTATGCTTTCTAATTATTGCTTCTCTCATATAAATTCTAACAAAAAAAAATGATCTGCGTCCACGTCAGCCCCTCTGCACGTTTTCACATTTGTTATTAAATTGGCGAATTGGCATTTGCGGCTATAATCAGCTTGTACTTTCGGTAAACTCAACCGATTTTTGTATAATATCTCATTTAATAAAGGAAAACAGATAAAATCAAGAGATAAAAAGTTCGTTAATATAAAGTTAGAAATGAGTGACCTGAAAAAGTTATTAATTGTGTGGGATATTATTTTTATTATAAGCCTAATAAAAATGTTAGAACTAATTTCTTGTTCCTAATTTAATGAAATTAGATATGCAGTGTTGCAATCCTAATAACCTACAAGGTTTGCAGTCATTATAAAACATATTTTAATATTAATTTTTCCATGTTAACACTAACAGTAATTTACTGTGAGCACCATCCATTGTTTTATTTAACAATTCAACGAAAAATTAAAATTAAAACCTAAAAAAGTAGTTTCAATGTCACTTAAGAAATAATGATTTCGATTGTCTGTGGTTTCATCGACTAATATATTATTGTACACGTTACCGTAATATAATAGAACTGTTTTAGTATAATAAACAAAAAATAGAGTTTAGGAATTTACACCTTTTCAATTTTCTTTAAAATACTGTAAACAATTGCTTTATTGAATATTATACCTCTTAAAGTACACCCTAAAATTATTGACGTTATAAAAACATTATAAAATTAACATAATACAAAATAATATAAAAATTATTGACATTGTACTTCACGATGAAATTTGCTGAGTAATTTAGAAACAGTCTATCAAATAGATCATAAGCGAGACTCTGACAACCGATCAGCGGTATAACTGTAAAAACTGTGATTATTCTTCTTCTTCTAA